AAATTTTTCAGTCCTAAAATTTATTGCAGTTATTTAAACTTGTCAGTGACACAGGTTTGGAAGTTTTCTTTATATGTGGCTTTTAACCTGCTCTATGATGTATTAAAAAATCACTAATGATCTGACCTTAAATACTTAATTATTTACATTTGTAGTCTTAAATAGTTATACTATTATGAACTGGAAACAATTGCAAAAGGCTGATTAACCTCCTGATACCTTTTGAATTGTATGAAGTCATTAATCTGTGACCTACCTGCATAGGTCTAACTGTAAACTGAGACGTAGTGTCTGTGTTTGTCTTATTTTAGCTGCTACTTGAACTGTTGCATGAATTCAGTTCTGCATAAATGTAGATACTTTTCATTGCCAAAAACCTGAAGGCATCCTTACTGGCTCCTGAAACCTGATCCCATAACCTTGACCCTTTCTTTGCCCCTTTTTATGTAAGTTTCCTTTTAGCCTCCTCAGCCTGGTTAATCCAAACTAAACATTCCTAAACCCCCCAGAACTTTATTTTTAATTCTAGTGGAGATGCATTTTTCCAAAGATACCAAATATGTCAGGCTGAGTTTTGGGCCAGTGAGTACAAAATCATGTACACTAAGACCTTTTCAGTATGGCACACCCATTTAAGAACATGGAGCTCTTTCACTCAGTTAAATCATAATATATCATATGTCTTCAGTAGAGAACTGGAACAAGCTTCTACAGAATGTATGAAACGGAGTTTGGAGTAAGATAAACTTAAGACTTGGGATTGTGAATGTGAAAGAAGAAGCTGTTCGATCATGTAAACCATTTATTACACATCCAGACTTGTGGTGTTGAAGCACTTCCTGATTTTATGCTGATCAGCAAAAATGTCTCTAGTCAAGACAGTTAACCACACACGAAACAAGGACATGTTTAAGTTAAGGTCACTAATGCCTATTCTAAGACTCTTCTCTGTAGAGAAACTTGAAACTTGTCCTGGCCCAGGTGTCCTCTGGATGGCCCTTCAAGTCTAATCACACAGCACTGCCACTCTCTGCCACCAAAGACATAAAAACAGTTTATTTAACCTAAAATCATTTGTCATGAATATAGTGTTATAACAACACTTGCAGGCAACAAGTGTGCAATAGTTGAAAAGCTATTGCCATGGAGATAAAGCTTGCACCATGGAGCTCAAGGTCATGAATTCCAGGAAAGGTCAAACTTATGGCTTATTGGATTGGAATAATATTGTAATTTCCTATAGGGTAAGTAAAACTATAATAACCATATAGTGTAGCAAAGGACATACACAGACCACAGAGAAGCTAGAAGTCCCCACAGAATCATTTTAAAAGTTGGCTATATGAGATTTTTGTATCTGCATACAGTTCATTGTTGCTGCCGTTACATACCTTCATCTAATAATCTAATCTCTTTGTGCTGCATTATGTTAGCTTTCCATACCGTTTCAGCATTCGCTTTTACTGTTTAAATTACAATTGAAGTTATGAATTGTTACTTGTACGTCTATGATTTCCTCTCTGAAAGACTTCTCGGTTGCATTTGTATGAGAGGTAGTTCCGCAGTACTGATCTGAACGTTCATTGGTGGTTTTAGCTGTCAGTCAGAAAAAGATGAGCCTCATTGGCTCTGGTTCTGACGCGCTTCCAACCCGGTTCGTGAGAACCAAAGAATGATGTAAAACAATGCAAACATCTCACTCTGATTTTATTTCCAGACCGGGTGGAAAACATAGGCTAACATTACAGATTACAGATTACAGACATTCTCTGTGCTTAAAACATGGTGAGTATCTTGACTTGCGTCCAAATATAGGCCACATAAAATATCAAACGTAAAAAGTAGTCATTACGCAAAATGGTGTATTCCACATTCATGTAGGCTATACAATATTTTTGTATTATAATTGCATATTGTATTATATTAATGCATGATTGAGTTAATGTTGCTGCTGGCTGGGTACCTTGTGAATTTCCCACCAAGGATCAGCAAAGTCTTATTCACCAGTTAATCAAGAGCAGCTAAATTTATCAATCACATGTGCAATAAAAATTATAGTAATTGCCACTGAAATGTGGTGAAGTGGAAGTATGAAGTAGGTTTTCTAAGTGTAGGTTTACATAAGTACTGTCACATGTACTTTTCACCACTGATTATATGAGCATATACTTTGATGGTAACAGGCTATATTCTGTGATAGGTGGTTGCCGTGAAGATTGACGTGAGTCATCTGTTGCAATTCACGATCTTCGGTTGGGTGGTGTTATGTGGAGAAGGAGGGTGGTAACCACTGCGGTACTTCAGTGTCTTACCTCCTGACTCAGATACCCACAGTTTCACTTATCGCCACCGGTTCTCTCCTTCATTTCTACGTTTTACTGTTTTTCAGCTTGGGATAGAGATGGCTGGTGCGACGGCACCGAGAAGACAGGACACCCGGAAATTCTTTGAGAATATGTCCGGCGCTGGTAAATCCATCGCAGTGTTGACTAGTGGAGGAGATGCCCAAGGTAATGTTGTAAGGTATAAGTTCCATTATCGGACAACCCCTCTGCCACCCTCGACACTTCTTATGTATTTGCTGTAACCGGAAAACGCTGCCGATGAACAATACGAGCACCTCTCTGCTCTAAGACCGTCTGACCAACGTACCTATAGTTAATCGTGTCACGTAGGCTACACTCGGTGACCGAGCGTAAAGGTAGTCCAGTTACCCGACATGTAATTTGTACGCACTGTCGCTGTTAACAAATTGTGTTGAACATTTTCTGCCGTTACCAGGATTTCCGCTGAATGTTTAAGGACGTATGTCATCCATATTTAATTGTCAGAATAGCTTTAGCCAGAGCCTTGTCCGATAATGGATGCGTAGCCGCAGTCGTGTCCGATGGCGAACTCGTTACGTTAGTTACACTCGCCTGTGGAGCCAGTCAGTTAAGGTGCGGTGTTAACTGGTTTCACCGCGTCACGGAGAAGAAGTCAAGCTTATTTCCACTGTGTGAATTCCTCATGCTGCCACCGTGGACTCTTTGGGAGTTTAATGAATGCGAACGCCTACGCAACAGCTCCCATTCACACATTTGTACATTGATGGTGCGGTGTTTATGAATTATGTATATTGAACCATCCTGATAATCCAGGCCTGATAGAATATTAGACTTGCTGGGATTTTTTTTTTAATTGTAGACTAAAGCCACCTAATGAACCTGTTTTTGGTGTGTCTTCCTTATGATTCATTCCACCCATAGTGTCCATTGCCGCCTATAATGAAAGACGAAATTAAATATTACTCCGTTTTTTTTCCGGAGCTCCTTCAGTTTACACGGACTACTGGACTCTGCCTAATGGGATTTTAACGTTAAATGCTACTTTTAGGATCTAATGTAGAGGTTTTGGGATTCCGTATGAACAGTGAGGAGGCCTATTCTTATTATTGGGTTATAATTCATTGTAGCTGTGTCAACGCTGGAAGTTCAGAAATAGAGCCCTCTATTTTAGTTTTAAAAGGTCAGACTAACAAATAGTGATCAAATGAACTTCCTGTCAGGGAAAAGGCTCGTATGTCAGTAGATGCGTATAAACACGTGGTCTGCATCACGGAGGATGAGTCGTGAGAGGACCAGTGTCAAGAGAGAGGCAGTAAAACACATTTCCTCTGGAGCCTTTCACAATAAATGCTGTATTGGCTAGTTTGCGCTGCAGCGCTTTAACTGTGAAGGCCCACCTCGTTGACTTCCTGTGTCCTTGCTCATCCTCACGGAAGGTTGTGCGGCCTACGTGAGGAGCCCCTGGTACGCAGTGGTGTGCATTCTGGTGGTGGAAAAAATGAAAATAGGCTAAAATGTTATACCTTAGAAGTGAGGGTTGCATGATATTAATATTATTTTATAAGACTTTAATATTTATTAAAGATCTACAAAGAGATGTAGTGTGTTAGTATTAGGCTGCCATAAATCTAATTTGATGGCATTTTTGTGTCACTTGCAGAATCGCTGTAGGTCCTAAAATATGTTCCACTGTGTGCTCATACGCTGTTACTGAAGTGCTGAGTCCATGTCGTCTGTCTCACTGCAGCATGTCACTATTACTGTGTATTGCATATTGGTCTGTTGCAATAACACGGACAGTAAAAGGACATTTTCCTGAGGTTTAATTGAAGCAACACGTTGTTGTGGAGCCAGCTGTGTGAGCACCATGCTCAGAGTCACACGTGCATTGGCAGTGACCTCATTTCTACTCACTCATAAAAGCAGGCTGCTATTAACAAAGCTCATTTGGTTCAGCTGTGTCTCTTTTTTTGTTGGTTGTCAGTGTAGAAAATGACTTCAGTTCAAACCAAAAACACTGCTGTAACCACAACTCTCATAAAATCAGTTGGGTACAATGCAGATTATTATATGTAATTGAAGTTTCTGACCTTTGTGAATGTGATACAGCACTGACCGGCACTGATATGCAAGTAAAATCCTGTGCTATCTGCAGTGAAAATGGACAGGGGCGGTTTGCAGCATGGCCTCATATTGTATAGGGCTTTTCTATGCATTGCAGCACACTCAAAGTGCTTTTATACTATTCACACACTGGTGATATCACCAGGAGCAACATGGGGTTCAGTGTCTTGCTCAACAGCACTTAGACATGTGGACTGGAGAAGCTGGGAATCGAACCACCAACCTCCCCGTTAGGAGACGACCTAGTCTACCTCCTGAGCCACAGCCACACGTGTGGAAGAGAATTTTGCAGAGAGCCTCCTGTTGGGAGGCTGCTGGACTTACTAGCACACAGAGTGGGTTCACAAGAATCTAATGTGCCTGCCGTTCTAAAAGACGTCAAAATGTTACATCAGTATTTGACACATACCAAATACTTTGGCTGGTGGATGTGGCCGTTTATTCTGAAACCAGACTCCTGTAATTCTGGTGATGTAGTTCATCTGTATGTGGTTGATTGATTAAGCTGCTCTATCACTTTATTAAATACAAAACAACTGAGTTAAAGAAAATTTACATAAGAACTTTGATGGTATTTGATTCTTTATTGCAAAAACACCAAACATTAGCTGGTTCCAGGTTCACGCAGGTGAGAATTTACTAGGTTTCTCTGCGTGACATCATATATTTGTTTGTTTGGGAAAACAAGCAACTTTGTAACTTTGTGCTTGGGGAACAAGTGATGGTCAGTTTTGGTTATTTTCAGATTTAAAAAAATATTTAAGATTCACTTTGTTATTTTAGAAGCAAATGTTTGTATTAAAAAGACCACTAATGAGGATCATAGCTGCAACTAATGGTTATTTTCATAATCATTAGCCTTTGTTCAGTGATCGTTTAGTATGAGATTCCCAGCATCTCCATTAGGATCATTAAAGTTTTATCACAGTCTCTCCTGAAGGTTGAAACATGAAGCCGAATGTCAACAATGGTGCCAACAGAAGCCTTTGTCTGTTTATGTAAACATTAGACTGCCCAGTTTCTAATGGCACTAAGCGTTCTGACCCTTTTTGTTCGGTCCTTGAGTTTGGTCTCCTCTCTTTGGACCCCTTTACCTCGCCTGTTGTCTGCTGGTTTGTCTGCCTTCAGCCACTCACTCTTCATGCTGCTATGTTTCCTTTCCTTGCTCTCTTTTGGTCATTTTTACCTTAGTTTTTATGAAATGAAAGCTTTGTTAACCTCAAGTCAAACAGCATAGCATCCCCAGATCACAAAACATTCATTAATAAATGGTGGTGTAATGATAAAAAGTTCTGACAGCAGAGGACAGGCGGGGGGGCTGGGGCATAGAGGAGCTGTTAAGGAGTCATAGCTGCTGGTATGGACCTGAAGCTTTTCCCTGATGGTAACAGTAGGTTAAGGTGGGGGTGCAGGGTGTGAGGAGTCTGAGTATCTGATGAGAACGTTTCAGGCAGCTGGAGGTGGAGGTGGTACTGATGTCTGGTGATGTAACTCCAGTGACTTGCAGTTTTAATTACCTGCTGTATGGCCGCTTGCTCTGCCTTTACGCGGCTGACAAACCACACTGACATATTACGTCCGGACACTCTCGGTGGCACAGCGATAAAAGTTGACAAACGGCTTCTGTGGCAGTGTCGTCTGCAAATTTAATGATGTAATGGGATGGACAGGAGGAGCAGCGATTGTGTATAGGATGTGTAGAGCAGTGCACTAGGCACACATCCCTGTGGGGCACCAGTACTGATGGTCAGCGATGAACATCGGTCTAACAGTCTGTGTGCGGCCGGTCTCCTTGATATTGTGAAAATGGTTCCATCCATCCTCTGTACCACTTATTCCTGAATAATACATGTCAGTCTATCACGGGACTGACAGGTAGACAAACATGATCTTTAATTATTCTGAATGAAAACTGTGTTTTGTTAATGTTTTTCTAATGCTGCAAAATCACCAGTTAGTCAGTCAGTTAGTCTTGACAGAGACCCCCCCCAGTTGTGGGGCATTATTTTTTTAACAAAAGTCACAGGTTTCACAACAGGCTGTGAAAAGGTCAGTGTTCATTTCTGACTACACCACAGGCTGCTGGGCTGCTCGGAGGTGAAACTTAGTCCTTGCTGAAAACCCTAAAGTCTCTTGTGTTTTTGTGCTTCTCCATTGTGCTGTGTTCTTAGTTGATCTGCTTCCTGTGGAAATCATGTCAAACACGACATCTTTCTGTGGCTACTACCACTAACTCTCTCCTCTGTATCCCCAGGAATGAATGGAGCGGTCCGGGCCGTCGTCCGAATGGGGATCTACGTGGGAGCGAAGGTCTACTTCATCCATGAGGTGAGGCATAGCTCGTGACTCAGGGTCCAGATGTCGCCTCAGGGGAGCCTGCAGTGTCTGTGACCTGCGACAATGAACCAGATCAACACCGACGAGTCTTCCTCACTTGGCTGTGATTGTCTTTGAGAGCAGCAGCAGGACACGAGCACCTGATGCTACACTACACTTGATTACACAGTCTGGCATTTTTGCAAAGCCACAAAAAGGAGCCACCGATGGTGACACTGGTCTCGGTCTCATTCTCACCCTGCTCCCAATAGCCTCTCTCTATTTATGTTTATTTATTTATACGCTTTTCTTTCCCTTTTTCTTCTCCCTTCCTCCTTTTGTATGTGTGTATATGCACCAAAAAAAAGTTGATGACACACACACACACACACACACACACACACACACACACACACACACACGCACAGTACCGTCACATACACACCAATATATATTTTAGTCATCTATATACACCCGTTTCTTTGTTAGTGCCCAGCACCTGTTTTAATGTCCTGTCCTGCTCTCTTACTATGGTTTTTGTTAAAAAAAAAAGAAGCACTAAAATTAAAATATGGAAAGAAATTTTATTTAAATAAAAGGCATTTATAATCTGAACACTGTATTTCAGTTGGCGGTCAGTCACTGCCTGGCCTCAAGGTGCAACGAGGGGTTCAGTGTCCTGCCCAAGGACACTTCGACATGTGGACTGGGGAGACTGGGAATCAAAACCGATTTTTCAATTGGGAGACGACCAGTCTGTCCCCGAGCCACAGCCGCAGGAAGACAAACATGTTGGCGTGCACCGCGTTATAGAATGAACCAGCTCCAACTTTTAAGTGTTTTCCTTTTTATAGCCAACATTTAAGTGAAAATAGAAATCAGTTTTTACATTTACCCAGTGTTTCATCTAACATAATTGATCCATTGTGTTTTTTTTTTTTTATATCAAAAGGGATCGATGCACATTACCCTTAAAAGGTTTCAATGAATTTGCTTCAGTGTCCTTTGAGCTTCATCAAAGGCTCGATGATTAGTTTTTGACCTGACCTCCTGCCTTGTGTCCATGTCATGTCTCTGTTGGCTGGAAATCAGCGAGCTCTCACGTTTCCACTGTTCCCACAGGGCCGTGCTACTTCCTGCTCATTGCTCAAACTATTTAAACTCCCTTTAGGCTTTGTATATATTTATAACCTGCTGGTAGCAAAGCACATGTTTGCTTTCATATGGACTCTGTGTGTACATTATCAACAGGTCATATGAAAGTTAACACTGACTTCATCACAGTGGATGTTTCAGATGCATATATTATATTATCTGCAGCCTTTTAGTCCAGTGTGTTCAGTGTGGTGACAGTACAGACCAGTATTATATACTGTAGCTGACCAGGCATGGCCTCTTTGCTCCGCACCACTTTAAAAGCCATTCCTACAGTGTTTCAGTAAGAACCTCTTCTATGTTTTAGCCTTTTCTTCATTGATGCGCCTTCAGTAAAATTCACCAGCTCACTAGTTTCATCACTTGAGGAATCTGAATGACAGATGTTTATTTTAATGGTTCTTGTGCTGTAATCATTTTGCTCACATGCAAAATATACAGAAGCTTCAGTGTTGTCCCATCATGCATCCCACCTTCCCACTGGTGCCACGGCATTAAACTGTAGTCCACAGTAAAGTGATTCAAATTAAACCTGTAATATACACTAAGATAAAAACACACTACTCCCTCTCAGGCGTGTGTGTGGTTTGGATGAGCATGTAGCAGGTAGACAAGCTGGTCTCAGTGCGGCTATAATTGGATTATCAGCAGCAGACTTCATCCATCAGCCTGGAATGACCACAGGGCTGTGTGTAGTGACAGCTGAGTGCCGTGGTGCCTTCACTTTAGCTGATAACTTTGTTCAGCATACACAACACAGCTAAAAATAGTGGAACCTCAACAACATGACTGTCAGGGCCAAGAGAGGGTCTTCGGATTCAGGTTTGGTTCCCTCTGTGTCGATAAGTCAGTTAGAGCTAACAGCAATTTTGCTAACTGATTAATCATATAGGTAATATTCTGGTTCCATCTTCTCAGACATGACAACCTTCCTGCTCTTCTATGTTAGATATAATCCTAACTGACATCTGAGGCAAACACAGGCACCTCTCAGGGAGAATGGAGCATTGTTTCAGTGTCAGTGCTTGTGGCTCCTCTCAGGGCTACCAGGGGATGGTGGACGGTGGCGACAACATCGAAGAGGCGACGTGGGAAAGCGTCTCCAGCATGCTGCAAGTGGTGAGTGGAGCGTTCTGCTGTTCAGGCCTCACACGCTTGATACTGTTGCATCAGAATGACATAAAACGATCCATGCATTTGAAAGTGACTGAGCAGCAAAACAAAAAGATGTGACTGAACTGTGACACAAATTTAAAAAATTTGTATTTTGTACGAAAACAGCATAGTAGAGCCAGTAGAAGAGTCATATAAAGGGAGAATAGTGTGATTTCAGGTTATTATCTGTTTCCTTCAGGGTGGTACAGTCATCGGCAGCGCCCGCTGTAAAGAGTTTCGTACCCGCGAGGGCCGCCTCAAAGCTGCACACAACCTCGTGCAGCACGGCATCAGTAACCTGTGTGTGATTGGCGGTGACGGCAGCCTTACCGGAGCCAACCTGTTCAGAGCGGAGTGGAGTGGCCTGTTGGATGAGCTTCTGCAGGAAGGTGCATGGCTGCAGGGCTTTCAGTCAATTTAACAAACCCTGGAACAAGAACTCCATTAGATTAGAAGTAAGCATTAGATAGAAGTTATGCCAAAGCAGAGCCTTTATGGTCCTATCCTGCTTTTCAGGGCTGATCGATGAGGAAGCCGCACACAGGTACTCCGTGCTCCATGTCGTCGGCATGGTTGGCTCCATCGACAATGACTTCTGCGGCACCGACATGACCATTGGCACCGACTCAGCCTTGCACCGCATCATTGAGGTGGTGGACGCCATCATGACCACTGCTCAGAGGTGACAACATCCTGAGAGGAGAGGCGCTTAAATGTGATGACACATATCAAAAATCAGAAAAAAAGAACTTGACACAGCACAGAAAGACTTAGAAAGTCAGGACAAGACAAGGTAATACATAAGACTAGATGTTGCAAGTGTAAGAGGCAGGAGGATGAGATGTGAAAAGATGTATCATCAACATGAAAAGACATGACCACAATACATGACGTGACAAAATGTAAAAAGACTTAACAAGAGAAAATGCAACAAGACTGTACCCGTCAGTTGAGCCCTCTTGAGACATGGCCACGGTCAGGGTGAAGGTTTGAGTGAGCATGTCTCAGCCAGCTCTCATCAGCCCTCTGCATTTCACTGGTCACTGCTTTTTCTTGTTTCTGACCTTTAGCTTTTGTTGTTTTTGCAGCCACCAGAGGACGTTTGTGCTGGAGGTCATGGGCAGGCACTGCGGGTAGGCACACCTCACATCACAGAGACTGAACAGATAAAATAAACCTCAGTGGTTTGTCAAGTCAGGAAATATTGATCAGCTGTAGGTTTGTTTGTGTGTGTGTCAGAATAGTATGTGGTATCAGATTGTGTAGAGGAAATATCTGTCACACTGGAGAAGAGATTCAGAACACTGATGTAAATATGTGTGCAGATACCTGGCCCTGGTCAGCGCCCTGGCATGTGGGGCAGACTGGGTTTTTATCCCAGAAATGCCTCCTGAAGACGGCTGGGAGGATAATATGTGTCAGAAACTGTCTGAGGTAACACACACACACACACACACACACACACACACACACTATCAATTGTCTGTTCAGGATTATACCCACGTATAAGCACTGAACTTGGATATGCCTCTGTGGATCTTCAGACAAGGACACATACACTGTGACAGTACACTTTATTTAGCACAGCTGCCATTTGAGCTGTTCCTGCTGTAACTGGCCAGTACTTTGTGTTTTTTGAATTTGCACAAGCAGATAGTTTGTAAATTGTTTAGATTTGTTTAGATGTGTATTTCACATTAATCACATTTCATGTAGAAAATTAAGTAGGATGCACCAGAAGCTATAGACGAGTGTTTGCCCAGTCACATTTTACCCTAACTTACCCTGTAAAACCTCGACTCTGGTGGGACTCAAACCCAGTATAACAAACGTAGAAACAACTTTCCTCTGACCACTCCGCGATAACGGTCTAATTTCAGAGGGTACATTCCAATTCCCTTATTTGTTCCTCACTTCTCCACCGACCTGAAAGCTGTGCCTCTGGTGAAGAATCAGAGGAAATTACATCTCATGTTAGTTAAAATGTGTTTCCTCCTCACATTTTCCCTTTGCATCTTTTATGAATGAGACTACGACACATGGAAAAGGTGGATGCAATTACGGGAATTGGGATGTACCCAGTGAGGAAGTGTGCATGAGCAAATATTCTGTAAATCATTTAGATTTGTATGTATTTCCCTGTAAAACCTCAACTCGTTCATTTTCAGCAACTCTTTC